GACTGTACATATTGTAAAATATAAGTAACTTTCAAATCCACATTTTAGTCGTTACACATCCTGTTATTATGTTTTCTATCAGTCTAAGTAAACTTAGCCTCAGTACTATTCGTTACACTCCTGCGTATGGGATGTTCTCCGTACATGTTCCAGAGTATAAACATTAATGAATACTAGTACCGATACAGATGGCAGGCTGAAGCTATTCGTGATATGATTTACACATATCATTAACTTAATAAATATCAGAAGATATTATACCCAATTATATGACATGAAATGCTTGAAAGAGGTGGGTTTTTTAGTGGTTCAGAATACAGGATGTTCTCCGTACAGTTTCCACAGTATAAACATCACTTCATACTAGTACAGATATAGATAGCCGGCTGAAGCTATTCATGACATGATTTGAACATATCAGTAATTTAATAAATATCAGAAGGTATCAGCTAAAATGACTTGCCGTATGAGATGTTATGGTTATATAATTTGAACATACGAAAGTATGAAAACACATCCACGGCAATGACACTGTGTTGCCCAGCTCAGGCTCGGGAGAACATTGTTTTCACTGTGAGAGCTTTGACAAAGGTTACTCGGAGATGCCGTTTTCGGATGTTGTAAACTTCAAGCGTTTCAGATAATCCTGTTTTCCTGAACACGCATACCGACAATAGAAGTATTAGAGAGAGCAGTGGGAGAAGTATGTTTTCATTAAATCCACAGTGTCTCGCCTAGCTTACTCCAAATGCTAATGATATTTAGGTAGATATAATACTAATCTATGGATTTAAACACAAATCAGGATACATGCGTGAGGTTTAAGTTGTTTTTGACAGCACGGGCCAAGCCGGGCTGAATAGAGACTAAACACTTTTGATTGAGATTATATTGTGAATGGAGAGAAAAAAGGGCTTCACTTTAACGGCACGTTATCTTTACATGTGGCATTTTGTAACATCACACATTGATATTTAGGTAGATATAATACCAATCTATGGATTTAAACACAAATCAGAATACATGTGTGGGGTTTAAGTTGTTTTTGAGAGCCCGGGCCAAGGCGTACCGAACGCTTGTGATACTGTTTGTTGAGAATATGTAGAAAAGATAGCTTCACTTTGAGCAAGGTGTTTGCTTCAAATACTACGCTTTGAGACTCTGTGAAGTGCTATGTAGGTAGATATAACACTAATCAATGGATTTAAACACACATCAGGATACATGTGTGAGGTTTAAGGTGTTTTTGACAGCCCGGGCCAAGTCGGGCTGAACAGAGACTAAACACTTTTGATTGAGGCTATGTTGAGAATGGATAGAGAAAAGGGCTAATTTTAACGAACCAGTTATCTTTACATGTTGCATTTTATAACATTACAAAGTGATATTTAGGTAGATATAATACCAATCTATGGATCTATGGATATATATATATATATAGAACAAATGTCTCATTTTTCAGCATTTCTAATTTAGTCAGTGATTACATGCCCATCTGTGATAAACGTTATGAAGAAACGGTGGAGTAATCAAGTTCAGTTTATTCTCAAATAACCACGTTTGGTGGTACAAGAGAAAATCAAACATAATCCATTTAAATACATATAAATAAACATGACAAAATGACAGGTAGAACAGTTTAAAATGAAACATAATAATGACATAAATTAACATCTGTTAACTGATTTGTTGTCTATAGAAAGAGCTGATTGAGGTTTAACCATTTTTGACAAAGAGTTTATCTAATACTAGCAGATATTTGGATAGATTTCTTATTTCTTTTGAATTTCTACTATTAAATATTTTCTTCAATGTTGATAAATTGGGGAAGTACATATGTCTAGTTGGTAAATATTTCAATCTAATATCTGAAAGGGCTTCACATTTAAATAAGTAATGAAATTCGTCGCCTATTGCTGGTGAATTGCAAAGTTTACATGTTCTGTTTTTTCTAGCGATATCATGCCAACGACCAGTTTCTACCGGGAGATTGCGATTACAGGTTCTGTATTTCAAAATAGGATAGAAAATATAAGCTGGGAAGAGAAGATAGTTTTCAAATATGGGAGTATCTTTAATATGTTTATAGTAAAATCCCTTAGAGCTATTTTCAATATCAGCTTTCCAACTTTGTTGGAACTGGTCTTTTAATACAGTCTCCACTTGTGAAACTAGCCATTGGCATGGTACGCTTACAGGGTTATAGAATACAAAAGATAAGCCCCATTTATCTAATAAAGATTTAACATGATGCATCCAGGGAACAAAATCATTCTCAAAGATACTTTGTGCATATGCATAATTGTAATCAATAACACTGAAGGCCCCTGAACGGTAATTAAGGGCAACAATGGAGTATGCTAATTGAATCACAACACCTAGCTGATTGCAGTTAGACAAGGGGCAATTAAGCAAGCTTGATACAGGTGTAATTAACAGGTGTATTAATTTCATTAGCCCGCACAGAGCCAGATTGAACACTGGGCTTCACTTTAAGCAACGTGTTAGATTCAAATACATGTACAAAGCTTTGAGCCTCAATAAAGAGGTATTTAGGTAGATATAATACCAATCTATGGATTTAAACACATTTCAAGATACATATGTGAGGTTTAAGGTGCGTTGAGCGCCCGGGCCAAGCCGGCCTGAAAGCATTACTGTGATACTGTGTCTTTGTTGAGAATGTATAGAAAATAGGGCTTCACTTTAAGCAACGTGTTTGCTTCAAATACTACGCTTTGGGACTCTATAAAGACGTGTTTAGGTAGATATAATACAAATCTATGGATATAAATACATTTCAAGATACATGTGTGAGGTTTTAGTTGTTTTTGACAGCACGGGCCAAGTCGGGCTGAACAGAGACTAAACACTTTTGATTGCGGCTATGTTGTGAATGGAGAGAGAAAAGGGCTTCACTTTAACGGAGCAGTTTTCTTTATATGTGGCATTTTGTAACATCACACATTGATATGTAGGTAGACATAATACTAATCTATGGATTTAAACACAATTCAAGATACATGTGTGGGGTGAAAGTTGTTTTTTGAAAGCCCGAGCCAAGGCGGACTGAGCGCTTATGATACAGTGTCTTTGTTGAGAATATGTAGAAAAGATAGCTTCACTTTCAGCAACGTTTTTGCTTCAAATACTACGCTTTGAGACTCTGTAAAGTGATATGTAGGTACATATATTACTAATCTATGGATATAAACACATTTCAAGATACATATGTGAGGTTTTGATTGTTGATTTTGTTTTCCGAGGACTTTTTTCCCCTTAATCGTTGGGAATGGAGAGAGAAAGGGGCTTCACTTTTTTTTACTTTATGAAGTGGTATTTAGGTAGATATAATACCATTTTGTGTTTCATGTGTATTAGTAAATATAAGCATATGCATACGCGCTGGCTATCTGATTTGGACTGGTATTGTTTACAATGAAAACACATAAGAATTTTTGTGTTTGTGAATGCATACTTTGTTTGATCCTTTATAACATATTACAAAATGTTGTGATTTCAAATATTTCTTTTAATATACATAATCATGTCATATTTGCCCACTGACACTCGCCGATATCCACGTCTCTTTAACATAAACATCCTGTGCTCATTCAGCATGAGACAATAAAGGTTAATTAAGGGAAAAAAAGCAGTCAAAACACTGTCACTTCCTGCCCAGGACCCCAGGATGTCACACGCTAAGAGAAGTAAGCAACCGTCCCTCATAGACATATCAAGGAAAACACATAACAACAAGACGGTGTCTTTACTACGGGAATCTCGGTATGTAGTCATTGTTGTTGTGTGGGTTTTTTCATCATTAACTATACATTTTCAATCAAACTATGCATTTGTGAAGGCAGGAAGAGTATCGACCTAAATGTGCAGGTTTCGTTTTAATATTCTGCAATCCATTTTTAGTATTACCCGGTGGCCCGGCCCGGCCCGACTTTTAGGCCATCCCAGTAATGAGTGAAAAAAATATAAAAAATTACAATCTCTAAATTCTCAATAATTTCTGGTTGTACTGTATATAGCCGTGACCCTCTATAAGCAAATATTAAATTTCAGTAAACTATTCTTACAGCTCGATAACTTTGAAAATCAGTTGATTTCGTTGTTGATCAGCAAATATGGTGCCTATACTGGCAAACAGAGGTAGACAACATATAGCCCTTCAAGCACACAGTGTATCAGGCATGCTCAGCTTGGTCACATATGTAACAGAGAGACAAATACATTTAAATACATACATTTTAGTACTATTTTAATGCACATACTGATTTTTTTCTGACGAATGCGCCGTTACCAACATAATACATCCTAATTATACAGTACAGGGACATTATCGGATTTCACCTTAATTCCATAAGGCTTTAGATATGTTCCCTGATACGCAATGAGCTACTTGTAATTTAGTCATGTCCGCTAACTGTAAGGAGTGTATGTAAAGCCTAAGCTGCTTTATCCATTATAGGGACCGTTCATGATTTATGACTAGGGGTGTGTGACGATGATTTTTATGGAGAAGCATGTATATTGTGCATGCTTCTCCATATGGAAATTGTCAGTAATTAATGCTTGTTTTACAAATGTGAAAAATAGGGAATCGTCCAAGGGTACGTTTCTGTATTCTGATTTTGGCTAGGGTACATTTCTGTATACAGAAACGTACCTGGGGTACACATCTGTAGTACCCGTGCCGACAACCTTCAGAGTTATTTATAGCGCTACGAGCGAAACCGTGTGACTGATCCCCCATATCCTTATTGAGGTTGTGCCATGAACTGTAACTGCGGTAGATGCACATATCTCAGGTGATATCCAGATCCCGGGGGGTAGAGAGAGGATGCAGTTGTTGAAACCCCCACCCATCTCCAAAATCCTGGATCCGCCCCTGATATCCATACACAAACTAAAACACTAATAGACGAACACACTAACAGTGACTACACCACCTAATTACCTAATTTCACCTGTTACATGTCACACCTTACCTTTCTTTTTCCTCTTCTCCTTGCCGCCACCCAGCCTGCTGGGACACAGGAACGCCATGACAGCCACGTCTCTCTATATGCAAGTATTCTATGTTATATCCTCGTCCACCGCGGAGGCCGGTGAACCGGCAGCGATAAACACCGTACAACTATTGCCTCCATTGTGTCTCGAAGCTTCCCATGAGCTTGCGTGCCCACACCACATGCAGACAACGGCCCATACAGAAAGCTTTACGCTTGACATATTACTGCTAGTCCATACAATGAAAGGAAATAGGATCACATAACAACAGCGAGTACATGTACTCAGTAGAGTATTAAACTAAAATAGTTTGTTTCTCACGGAATGTAGGCTATACAAGATGTATTTTTCAGCAGTTGATAGGGATAATATGAGAGTCAAGGTGCTGGATAAGTGTGACTGGTTAAGTTGTTGTCGTACTAGTGCAGGGGCTTGTGTAATTCCGTGGGAATTACTTGTTAATTGTAGGAACCAATGCTAATTGTAATCTGTGTGTGGATGCAGAAAAAAACATGGTTCCATATTTTCTATAAGTGTCATTGTGGGGCGATTGAATATGAGTTCCCAATATTGCTTGTGACACAATTTCGAGACAAAATATTTTCATAAACTGTAGCATATCAAAAGGTAGTTTATGATGCATGATACAGAAATAAGCATATAAATATGCTTCTAATTTCAATTTGGTGACATAAGTTATCACATAATCATATGAATTAATCAAACATTGTCTTTCTTTCATCGGACACCAACATTGTAAGTATTGGCCTGTATTATTCAATTAAGGTATTCTCCCATTTCATAATATACCCGCCGTGATATTGCTGGAATATTGCTAAAAGCGACATAAAATCCAACTCACTCACCCACTCATAATATACATTACCATGACACACTTATGTTGTAATAATAGTAAGGTTAATGTGACATTTCGTCATGCAAAAGTTTCAAATCAGGTAATAAAGATGGGAAAGCCGCAATAACTCCGTCCGCCAAGTGGCTGCAAGAGTTGTATGTTCCCCCAGGGAGTTGAGATTGATAGTACGATGTGCCGTTGTGATTGACATCCAAAGATCGAGGGAAAAAATGCCAGCGCCTTGAGCATGTACTAGTTGCATGGATATGTGCGCTATAGAAATATCCTATAATAATAATAATAATAATAATAATAATAATATAAATGTGAAACTGAGGGCTTCCTTTTTTGCTGCTCAGGACCAGTCACTTCCCACTCGCAATCGCCTAAATGTGATTCTTAAAGAAAATATCAATATGAAATGTCGACTTTGCAATGAATTCACGGAGACTGTCCAACACCTTGTCAGTGGATGCCCTTCCTTGGCACAAACAGCATATCTTAAAGGACATGATGGCATGGCTCGTTGCTTTTACTACCGTCTCTGACATGCCTGTGGCTTTGACTCTGAGGTCCATCCATGGTACGACCCTGAACATGTCCAGGGCGTCATGGAAAATGATGCTTTCAAACGTCGGTGGAATAGGCCTATATACAGCCTCAGAAGAATTCCAGCCAACAAACCTGATCTTGTCCTTTTTGATAAAGCCAATGAATTCATTTATATCATTGAGTTTTCTGTTCCTTTTGAAAGTAATATGATTGGAAAAATTCAGGAAAAGCATGCAAAGTATGCGGGCCTCGCTTTTGAAATTTCTCGCTTGCATCCGTACACTGTCGCCAGGCTCCCCATTGTTCTCGGTGTCCTTGGTTTGGTACCTCCTGATCTCTTGGCGCAGATCAGGAGAGTGCCCGGGTTCTCCACCGGCAGTACAGCCCTTCTGACACTCTGGGTAATGCAGAAAGCTGCAGTGTTGGGGAGCCTTCATATTCTCCGGAAAGTTCTTGGTGGGTTCGACTAGGCAGCGTTTCCTGGGAGAAGTCCCATTCGCTGTCTGGGCTGCGTGTAGAGGGGGCAAGGGCCCTGAGCTGATGATGAGCCTTACCAGCCTGACTGTGCCAGGATCACCCGAACCCTCTCTGCTGCATACTATCTTTAATCTGTAAAACATAATAATAATATGAAATGTCGACTTTGCAATGAATTTACAGAGACTGTCCAACACCTTGTCAGTGGATGCCCTTCTTTGGCACAAACAGCATACCTTAAACGACATGATGGCACGGCTCACTGTTTCTTCTATCGTCTTCGCCATGCCTGTGGCTTTGACTCTGAGGTCCATCCATGTTACGACCCTGAACATGTCCAGGGCGTCATGGAAAATAATGCTTTCAAACGTCGGTGGAATAGGCCCATATTCCGCCTCAGAAGAATTCCAGCCAACAAACCTGATCTTGTCCTTTTTGATAAAGCCAATGAATTCATTTATATCATTGAGTTTTCTGTTCCTTTTGAAAGTAATATGATTGGAAAAATTCAGGAAAAGCATGCGAAGTATGCGGGCCTCGCCTTTGAAATTTCTCGCTTGCATCCCAAGTACACTGTCTCCCCATTGTTCTCGTTGCCCTTGGTTTGGTACCTCCTCATCTTACCTCCAGAAAGTCCTTGGTGGGTTCGACTAGGCAGCATTTCCTGGGAGAAGTCCAATTCGCTGTCTGGGCTGCATGTAGAGGGGGCAAGGGCCCTGAGCTGACGATGAGCCTTACCAGCCTGACTGTGTCAGGATAATCCGAACCCTCTCTCCTGCATTTTTCATCTTAATCTGTAAAACATAATAATGACAACAAGAAGAAGTTAAATTTTGAAACTCACTGAAACTTTTCAGTCTTTGATTGATGTATCATAAGGTCTTTTTGTCAATCACAACATCTCATTCTTCAATACTGAGTACATTTTGGCAGGTTGGCAATCCTCGACATCCAGTGCAAAGCAATGTGCACTCAATTCCTGCTCTTCGACAACTGCATCGTCTCTTGCACTCAAATTTGCATCCACAATATATCATCTTCAATTGCTCTATCTCTCTCAATAGGATCAAGGACCCCATCCTTGAATTACCATCCCCACTCTGTTGGTGAAAGCTCATTCCCTTGCCATTGCTGAACCGTATGGTACACTCGGTAGCTGTGGAATTTAGCAGCTGCTGAAGTTGGGGGAAGTGATTCCAGTTTGAAACCTGAAGAGGACACAGAGGCTTGATGAATGGACTTGAAGTACATGTTGTAGCGATGTTCGTCCAGTGATGTTGAGTCCACAGCTCCATAGAGTTTAAGCATGAACATCTCTCCAACTTGTGCAATGTCATCATTTGAAGATTGAAGGAAAACATCCAAGCAATCCCAATTGGACCTCTCCTGGAATAGAGCAAGAGCTTTCTTTTTCCCCTGATTTTAGATGGCTGATGTTGTATCACAGCATGTTATTGCATGAACAAACATCAGATGCTGTCTGATATTGGGCATGGTGTTCTGTATTTCGGAAATGATGTACATCTGCACAGGGGCCCTTCCAAATAACATTTGAAGATCCATGTAATTTGTGGCTTGTGCAATCAACATTACCAACAGGTCTGTGTCCCCACGACAACAACAGGTGATTGGTTGTCTCTGGCCTTGTTCATTGCAGTTGAAGCAATCAACCAGTCAGCATCAGCAGGGCTTTCTTGCACAGCTAAATCTTCTCTGGCAAGTCTTCCCTTCAATAATGAGCCCGTCGACTCTGTTCAGCAGATTTTGTGGAACACGCACTGCCATACCCATCAAACACCACTGAAGATGCTGAACTGTAATGTTGAAGCACAAAGGACACATACCTGTCATATGTGGTTGTATGTAGCATCCGTGGGCCAAGACAAACTTTGTAGCAGGTGGTCACCGTCAATGACATCATGCGCTGCCTTTGGATGGTCATTGTGGACTTGAACTTGTGATTTCAGTTAATTAGCCAGAACACTCTTCGTATTCTTTCGCATCATGCCTTTGTCAAACAAGGCAGGTGGTTGCTTGGCAAATTCATGAAAGTAGGTACAACTTCATCTCAGACTTATCCTCTATCACACAGGTGACTCGCATGAATAGCAGCTCAGAGTTTACTTGGACTGGCTCTCCTCTGATGTTGATTTGATGCTTTCCTCACTGATGCTTATCACCCTATCTTTGTGCTTTAACTTTATGTCAGCAAACATCTGACCTGTCACTGCTGAAACTACCTTCATTCCTATAGAAACTGCTTTGTCTGCATTTACCGATTTGCCAGCTACAACACCACTTGCTATGCAGATGAGCTACTCATGCTCTTCATAGGAGAAAGGAGAATGATCTTTCAGCCAATGGAAGAATGTTTCATAGTCCTTGTTGTCTCTCACGATGTAACATAAATGGAGGTCAACATGTTGCTCAGATGTTTGGCTCTGCACTCCTGTGAACCTCTCTAAAGCATCACATATTGGTATGCACTGAGGCATTGCATGGTCCAATTTGGTGAGAGTGCTGTCAGTTATACCACGACCACGAGCCATGCCACCAGAGATCTTCAGCAGTCGCATCAGATCTCGCTCGATCACTTATTCAGTGAAGTTGCCACTCCAGAATTTGCCAGTTCTACGGATGGTGAATTATCCTTGTTCTGTGTAGGCCTTGAACTGATCTGGTGACATTATGTCCTTCAGGTTTTTCATTTCTTCCAGATACAGACGTGCAGATTTGGCATAGGCAAGATGACCAGCAGCATGGAATAAGGGAATCATCTTGCTGACAGACAGCAGATGTAGATTCCAGTCTGCTGTGTGCTCCGCACTAATGAACTGCTGAAGAAATTACACTTGTTCCAATATTCTATCCAAAGTCTACCTGTCCTGCTTTTTTATGAGACTTGTGTCTTCAAATCATCGACAATTTCAGCTAGCTGTAGGATATTGTCCTGGTTTTGAGAGTCAAGGGAACCAATATCGCATTCGCCACCTAACAAACTGCCATGTATGGTACGAAGCTTTTCCACATTCAAAGAATCAAGAACATCTGTTGATTGCAGTAGGATGGACATGATAGCAGCAGATGACAGCAGATGAGCTCGAAGTGCACGGGCATAAGCATGGCCTGTCAGCATGTTGATTACAGAATTAGGTGCGTAAACAGTCGCCCAAGGATCTTCCAAGCCGCTTCCACCCATCACATATCCAATTGAACCCATGTATGACATGAGTAAATGAAACCCTCCTAATTTAAGGACAATCCTGTTGAGCTGTGGATGTGCCGATTTCACAATTTCTGCTGCTTTACTGTAGAGGGGCTG